CCCCGAGTGTGTGGGGAAGGAGAAAAGGATGAGCATCCTTATCTTAGCATCCTGATGGTCCAATGCAGCGTGTACCTGGGGAGCATTTAAAAATGCAGATTCTGCGTCACACGTATCCAGAGTCTTAATCCATTTGAGAAGTTGTCATTTTAAACAAAACCCTGGGCTTTCTGATGCTGGTGATCCAAGAATTTTCATTAGAAAAACACTGTTCTGCAGGGAAATAAGTCAGATAATAATAGTGTTGGTCGGTGGAGGTGTGCTTGCATGTGGGCACGTGTGTGTGTTTGCACGTGTGTGTGCAGGGGTGTGCTTTTCCTTTAATATCATAACTGCATTTCTGATCACCCTATAGTCACTCTGTCCTGGCATTGTTTTGTAGTAACTGATTTACTGCCAGTTTTGCCTGCTGGCCTAGCCCAGGCTCTTACATGAGGCAAAATAGTGGTATGAGGAATGTCTTTGGCCCGGTGAAGAGATCTGGACCCAGGGCTCGGTAAACAACAGAAAGCCAGTGCGAGAGCTGGCTCTGGAGCTCACCGCAAAGTGGCGACGGGAAGTCCAGGGGTAGTTCAGGGCCTGATTTAAACAATTTGCACATAGTCAGTTTTTAGCATCAGTGGACTAAGGCGGGGTTTCTCACACTCAGCAGTGTTTTCGTCTGGGCTGGATAATTCTTGGTTTGGGGGTGGGGGTTGTAGATGTTTAATGGCATCCCTGGCCTCTACCCATAACATGCCTGCAGTCCCCCGTCCCCTACTTGCGACAATCAAAACTTTCTGTAGACACTGCCAAATGCTTCCCAAGGGGCAAAATGGCCCTGGGGCCGAGAACCTGGTATAACAGAGAGCGGGGACAGAGAGAGAGTGCATTTTATATTCTCCTCCTAAGTTTCATTTTGTCTAAACTTTTCTTTCCTGGTAAAAAGCAAAACTGTATACAAGCAGATGTGGTAGCAATAAAACTTCCCACTTATGAATCCAAGGTTTTAGTGAACTTCTGGGGAAACTTCTTTGCTCAGAGTCTGGCTGTGGTATTTCAAAATTTTTAAGAATCCAGTTACTGTCAAACAGGCTCTGTACAGCTGGATAAACAAACTCCAGGAAGACTCCCAGCTACATCTTCATCAGGAACTCTGCAGGCATGAGCCCTGTCATCCCGAGACACTGTGTGCTCAAAGCAATTGAGAAGGAGCATTTCCACATTCTACTGGCTGCTTTAAATCTGTGGTTTTGTCTTTATTATTGGTGTGACCCATTACTGCTGTTCAACTGTGCAATCAAATTTACAGCTTAAGTTGGGTGTCTGTTTCTGTACGATCACAGCTGCTTCTCCCCTGAACTCTGGGGCGAATACCAACCAGTTCTAACAGGGCTCAGGGCTCACTACAATACATCTCTTCTCGTAATTGGTTCAGGAAGTCTACATGCATACTCTCAGCCAAAACCAAATCAAGGAAGGGCCACAAGAAGGGAGGAATAATGAAATCCCTCCCAGGTTCACGAGCTTGCATTCTGGGGCAAGCCCATGCCCTAGTGATCTGCGTGTGGTCAGTTGCTGAATGCACAGCAATTTGTTCTGGGATATCTTTGCCCCTGTTATTAAGAGATTAGCAATATAACAGATCATAGACAAAAGATTTCAGTTGAGGGACATTATATACTATCTTGGTTTGTTTTAATTGCTTGCACTTTATCCCTCTGTAAAGTGATACAGTATTTACATTATACTCTGAGGCTCAGAACTGGAAGTTACCTATCTTAAGACTTAAAATTCTTGCAGGAATTCTCCTTATAATGTTGGCTGACTTTCTAGTCTTAGGAGTCACCTGTTAAGTCACCCCAAGACACAGCTCCAACCACCTATTTGCAGTAAAAAGCTTCTCAGCGTGGTTGGGGGGAAAATGAGCTCCTGATTGGTAAATGGACAGATGTATCCATTAAAAAAAATGAGTGTGTTGCTTAGATCACTTCCTGGTAAAATCAAAGAATAGACCATTGCTAGAAGAATACATTTCCAGTAATTTACCTTGGTGGTGAAAAGTGGCCTTTACCTCCTCATCCTTCTATTTTGTCCGTTGGGAAACAAAATAAGGGTGATAATTCAGGTTCAACATTTAAAATACACTCAACACAAAGTGCCAGGCTCTGAGTTAGCTGTTACAGAATTAAAAAAGAAGATGAAAAACGAAAGGAAGGAAAGAAGGAAGAAAGGAAGGGAGGGAGGGAGGAAAGAAGGGAGGCAGGCCCTGCCTTGGAAAATCTAGTCTAGAAAGTGTATTCTCTGTTGTAAGTGGCATGGCTGGTGGTTTGGTTGAAAGACATTCAAATAAAGAAAACAGATTTTCTTAAGTGCTTTGAAATCACGACTAAAATCTTAGGTAGATTTAAGATCTTTTTATATAGTGGGAAATCCCCAGAGTGATAGACTATGTGGTTCTTCACTTATATTAAAATAAGATACTGCTCTGGGATTCTGAATTTAGCAGCTGTTGGTATACGTGTCTCTTGCCACACTCATAAAGGTTTTTAATGTACAATAACATAACACATAGTTTATCCCTTCTATGGTTGAATGCATTATTTATAACTAACTTCGTACCATCTTTCGTGTGTGGGAAGGAGCAGTAAATAATTACAGCTCTTCATTTTTAGTTCACCAGAACCAAGACTCTCTTCCTTTTTTCACAGTGCTATTTACCTTCCACCTTTTCTGCCAACAATTAGCACTGGTCAGCTGTAGCTCATTTTATTTCAACACACTCACAACTGGAAGACAATGCTGCTCAATGCGAATGAGACTGAACGCCCACCTGAATATGCAGAGAGATTAGCTGCATCCCGCAGATGCAAGGGGCAAAACCTAAAGGCCAGAATGTCTGTACCTGAATCCGTTCATCTGCCAAGTGAAAGTGATCATAGCGATGTTAATAAATCTGAAAATAAGATTGAATGGAAGTTAAAACAACTTGCGTGCCAGATATTAGTGCTCCTAATAATGTCCACGATTCACCTTGCCTTAATGAGGCACTTGGTCGGGATCCTAAGAAGAAAAGAACCTACCTACACATTTTGTTCTGAAAAATGGTCTGCATATTTACACACTGTTTACTAACACTAATTCCTAGGCAGTTTCCAAAGCGCCTTTTTGCAGACAATGATAGGAATCTCTAGCACTGGGCTCAGCTCTTCACCCCATAAAGGAGGCTGGAAGCCGTGAGTCATCTTTCTAAACCATGGGCCACATAGGGGGCAGTCCAGACGCTGGCAGAAAGCTCTGTTCCTGGAGTTCAGTGCAAGACTCTACTTCAGAATGAACCTCAGTGGAGGAGACCATGCTCAGTGTGAGTCAACTGTTAAAAGTTCAACTCATTTCACACTTAGGATGCAGCACTTGAAAGGGGACTGGGTGACTGCTTGCAACTGGAAGGAGCACTGCCCAGAGCACAGCAGTCAGGTAACATACTAAGTATAAAACAGAGGATCCAAGGGCTGATTACAGACACAGATCATAAAGTGCTTGAGTAATTCTTTCTGGTTAGGAAAACCTAGGAGGTATTTACGGACGGATGTAAGCCCCTGGGCTAAGACCAGAATGATTAAAAGAATTTCACAAGACAAATTTCAACTAGTAAGTGAGGGCGGTGGGGCAGAGGATGCTGTGCGGCTATGATGGGGTAAGGGTAGGTACCCAACTGTCAGAGCAAAAGCAACGTTGGCCATTTGGGCTGGGACCAGTTTCCCAAGGGGGCAAAACAGAAGAATGAGGTGAGACAGACCCCTTTTCACTTCTGAGGTAAATTATTTGAAATTTATTTTTCTAGCAACTATTGTTTGGTTTTACTGGAAGTGATTTAAGCAAGATACTTGGGTTTTTTGTTTTGTTTTGTTTTGGGTTTTTTTTGTGGATACATCTATCCATTTTCCAAAATGGGATAGAGCAAGAAATGCAAGGATCCATCAGTCTGATGGTTGGTTAATTTACAATGCTTCATATTCCCTGAATTCCTATCACTAAGTTATTTCTGATAGTTGAGGTCAGACCTTGGGTTGGCTCATGCCAAAGTGTAATCTCAGATACTGCAAGAAGTTCAACAGGTCGAGTGCAGTAGGGTTCACAGCTGCTTTAGGATTTCCAAACCCTAGAGTTGCAACACGTGTCCTACTAATGGATGCACACTGTCTTTGCCTGCCCTGGGTTTTTACTGATTTTTTTTTTCAATTTCTTTAATAAGAAAGAGGTTCCTTCCATTTGTTTGTTTCACACCTTCCTATATTTTACACTGAGGAGTAACCTTCAACCCATGAAGCTAATTAGCGTTTTTTTGTTTTCCCCTGATCTTTAGCATCTGTGCTCCTGAAGTGACTCTCATATTACTCTGCTATACTGATTTTGCTTTCCTAAATGACAGCACCTTAGCATGACTGCCTCTCATCCCCTCCTGTTCAGCCCTCGCTCTTCCTAAACGGGATTGCTGACACCCCACAGCATCACCCCTCCCGCCCGCTCTTCTCCCATTTGTCATCATACCCAGAGCCTTCTCCAGCCTCCTCCTATCCCCTACCCTGTTACCGTGTTTTTCCACCCATGACCAGAGGGACTCGGCGGGCGAGAACTTTAGACACAGACACACCCGAAGCTCCCCTCCTAGGGGTCCGCTTTTCCCAGAGCACAGGGCGCTGCTCCCTCCGGGAGTCAGCAGGCTTTGAGCCCCACCTGATAGGACTAGAGTGCTCGGCTCCACCCCCTCTGCCTGGTTCCCGCCTCATCCCAAGCCCCGCAGCCCGTGACACCCACTCTCTATGGCCCCGCCCCAGTTAACAGGCCCCGCCCCACCCCGCCCGGCGTTTCAGTCCCTTGCCTTCCCAGAACCGGAGGCCCCGCCCGTGTCTCCACCTCTCGCCCACGCTATCCCCAAGGCCCCGCCCAGTCCCCGCCCCCGGAGCTCCCCGCCCCGCCCCCGGCCCGCGTCCCTGTTTCTCGCCCACCCCTGGCCGCGCGGCCGGAGCTGGCAAGGAGGAGAGGCGGCAGCAGCGGCATCGCAGCTTGGGGACGCCGGCGCTCCGCTGGACACGGCGTCCCCGAGACCGCCCTCCTCGCGCAGACTGCTTCCCGGTCTGCAGCCGCCCGGGAACGTCCGCTGTTCCCCGAGGGCAGGCGTGTCCGCGAGGCGTGGGGCGGGGATCGATCGAGGGGCCGCAGCCTGTAGGAGCGAGGGGAGCGAGGGGCTTGGGGAGCCGCGAACTGAGAAGGCGATCCGGCCCGGCCCCCTGCGCACCGCAGTTTTCTCCAACTCCCCACCTCCTCCGCATTGGGGCCCAGCCCTGCTCGGGGACCTTGTCCGGATCTGCCGAAGGTAAGCGGACTTGGGCTGTTGAGGGGTCTCCTGCCCCCAAACCACCGCCAGAGTTAGGGGAGAAGGGAGCGTAGGATGGGGGCGTCACGTTCGTAGGAAGTGCCTAAAAAAATGCAACAGGCGGGGCGGATTGGGAAACTCCTGGCGTGAACGTTTCCCAAGGAAAGGAGACTTGTCCAGGACTGAAACTTGGGTAGGTTCTTCCCACCCGAAGAAGCGCAGAGGGAAGCTGCCTTAAGTCTGGGTCTGAGCTCCCTCTGGTGGTTCCTGGTGAGGAGGGAACGGGAGGCTACAGGTGAGAGATGGGAGTGGAACTGCCCTTCTTTGCTCCCACACATTGTCATGATTTCTCCTTTGAGGAAAGTGACTGGTCCTTTAAGGAGACACCGTCTGATCTTATGAAATCTAAGCCCTCTAACGGAATAAAAAAACAGTGCTTGCAAGTTTTTGCTTTCTGTCCCGGAGTCCTTTGTGACCAAAATAACAAGACTCATAGCAGGGCTCATCTCTGGGTAAACTGCATTTGAATAAAAGGATTTTGTTTGTTTATTATTTTTCTACACTTTTAATTACATTTATTGGGATGACATTGGTTAATAAGATTATATAGATGTCAAGTGTACAAGTCTGTGATACGTCATCTGTATATTGGATTGTGTGCCCACCACCCAAAGTCAAAGTTCCTTCCACAGTCACCATACACTCCACTCTCTACCCTTTATTACCCCTCACCACCCCCTGAAAACATTTTAAAAGGCTAAAGCAAGCTACAGTTAAAATAAATATTGTTGGCAAAGTTAGTTCTAAGTTGTCATCTGCCAGTGTTCATTGTTATCCCAATGTGTGCATTTAAAAGTATAAGGAAAAAAAAGAATCACTGGAGCTAACTTAGATTGTTACTTAATAACAGATGTAATTGTGATTCTGAAACGTGGGTTCAGTACAAGATGGGAGTTATCAGTTTATATTCACTCCCAGCATATCTGTAGCCTCAGAGAATCTCTTTGTTCTTTTTTCCCCCTCAGAAAAGAAATGTCATGAAAAGGAACAGAAAAGAGCCGACACTGCAGGTGAAAGAGGAGTTTTCTTTCCCTGCTGGTGGTTACTTGGTGCTTGGAAGAGAAATACCTAGCCGGCTGAAGAGATTAGATGTTTCTAGCTGTACCGATGAAACTGATAAAAGAAGACATAAAAATGCTCCTTCTCGATTATAATAGGCTCATGAGTGAGAAAGCCTGAGAAAGACAGAGTTGAAATGAGGGCAGGAATTTTGAGTTCTTTAAAACCAGGTAGGACTTTGGACACTTGTTGAGGATGCTATTCTCCCAAAAAATGAAGAAGAAAAAAATCCTCAAAACCAGAAGTGTAAAAAATTGAGAAGAATAACAACCAAGTCCACCACAAAGATTTCAGCACTTCATCACCTTTGGACAGACACACACGGGGACATGATATGTGTATGGGGATTTTATCGCTGGTGATGGTTTCCTGTGCCAGGAATGACTTAAGTTGGATTTTGGAAAGCTTTTCTTTTTTTCTTTTCCTCCTTTCCTTTTTTACAATGTGAGTTCTAACTCTTCATGGATTCATAGTATGTTTGACTCTTTCTACCCCTGTCTGCTGTGTGATATGGAAAAAACTAGAGGTGTTAACATCTTCCTGAAACTTTATTAGAAGCAAAACTGCATTAGGGACGGAAGTAAGTTTTTCCTTTTTGGCAACTGTACTTGCTTTGAATGAGCCGAACGTCAGCTGGATTTTACAGCATGATTCACAGTCTTTGTTTTATCAAGACCTTACATGTATGCTTTAGACTGAGCAGATGGGAACCACATTGAGCACTGTGTTTGACATGATTGCTTAAGGAAAGGAACTCCCTGATGGATCATGGCGTTAATGTTTACAGGACATTTCTTATTTTTAACATTAGTGATGTTTGCTTTCTCTACTTTTGAGGAATCTGTAAGCAATTACTCTGACTGGGCAGTTTTTGCAGATGATCTAGATCAGTTTAAGACTCAGAAAGTGGAAGATTTCAGACCCAACCAAAAACTGAAGAAAAATATGCTTCATCCAAGTCTATATTTTGATGCGGGAGAAATCCAATCAATGAGACAAAAGTCTCGCACAAGCCATTTGCATCTTTTCCGAGCGGTCAGAAGTGCAGTGACAATTATGCTGTCCAACCCGACATACTACCTACCTCCACCCAAGCATGCTGATTTCGCTGCCAAGTGGAATGAAATCTACGGTAACAATCTGCCTCCTTTGGCGCTGTACTGCTTGTTGTGCCCGGAAGACAAAGTTGCCTTTGAATTCGCCTTGGAATATATGGACAGGATGGTTGGCTACAAAGACTGGCTGGTGGAGAACGCACCAGGGGATGAGGTTCCAGTTGGCCATTCCTTAACAGGCTTCGCCACCGCCTTTGACTTTTTATATAACTTACTAGATGAGCGTCGGAGACAAAAATACCTGGAAAAAATATGGGTGATTACTGAGGAAATGTATGAGTATTCCAAGGTTCGCTCATGGGGCAAACAACTTCTCCATAACCACCAAGCTACTAATATGATAGCATTGCTCACTGGGGCCTTGGTGGCTGGGGTCGGTAGAGAATCTAAAGTAAATTTATGGAAACAAGTTGTAGTAGATGTGATGGAAAAGACAATGTTTCTATTGAACCATATTGTTGATGGGTCTTTGGATGAAGGTGTGGCCTATGGAAGCTACACAGCGAAATCAATCACACAGTATGTGTTTCTGGCTCAGCGCCATTTTAATATCAACAACTTGGATAACAACTGGTTAAAAATGCACTTTTGGTTCTATTATGCCACCCTTTTGCCCGGTTTCCAAAGAACTGTGGGCATAGCAGATTCCAATTATAATTGGTTTTATGGTCCAGAGAGCCAGTTGGTTTTTTTGGATAAGTTCATCTTAAAGAATGGAGCCGGAAATTGGTTAGCTCAGCAAATTAGAAGGCACCGACCTAAAGATGGACCGATGGTCCCCTCCACTGCCCAGAGGTGGAGTACTCTTCACACTGAATACATCTGGTATGATCCCCAACTCACCCCACAGCCTCCTGCTGAATATGGTACTGCAAAACTGCACACATTCCCTAACTGGGGTGTAGTCACTTACGGGGCTGGGTTGCCAAATACACAGACCAACACCTTCGTGTCTTTCAAGTCTGGGAAACTAGGAGGCAGGGCTGTGTATGACATAGTTCACTTCCAGCCGTACTCCTGGATTGATGGCTGGAGAAGCTTTAACCCTGGACATGAGCATCCAGATCAGAACTCGTTTACTTTTGCTCCCAATGGGCAAGTGTTTGTTTCTGAAGCCCTCTATGGACCCAAGTTGAGCCACCTTAACAACGTGTTGGTGTTTGCCCCATCGCCCACAAGCCAGTGCAACAAGCCCTGGGAAGGTCAGCTGGGAGAATGTGCACAGTGGCTCAAGTGGACCAGCGAGGAGGTGGGGGACGCAGCAGGGGAAATCATTACTGCCTCTCAGCACGGGGAAATGATATTTGTGAGTGGGGAGGCAGTGTCTGCCTATTCTTCAGCGATGAAGCTGAAAAGCGTGTATCGTGCTTTGCTCCTCTTAAATTCTCAGACTTTGCTAGTTGTTGATCACATAGAGAGGCAAGATGATTCCCCAATAAAGTCTGTCAGTGCCTTCTTTCATAATCTGGATATTGATTTTAAGTACATCCCGTACAGGTTTATGAACAGGTATAATGGCGCCATGATGGACGTGTGGGATGCGCACTATAAAATGTTTTGGTTTGATCATCGTGGCAATAGCCCTGTTGCTAGTATCCAGGAAGCGGAGCAAGCTGCTGAATTTAAGAAACGGTGGACCCAGTTTGTTAATGTTACATTTCAGATGGAATCCACAGTCACCAGAATTGCATATGTGTTTTATGGCCCATACGTCAATGTTTCCAGCTGCAGATTTATTGATAATTCCAACTCTGGACTTCAGATTTCTCTCAACGTCAATAACACTGAACATGTTGTTTCCATTGTAACTGACTACTACAACCTGAACACAAGATTCAGTTACCTGGGGTTTGGCGGCTTTGCCAACATAGCCGATCAGGGCCAAATCACCCGATTTGGTTTGGGCTCTCAAGCAATAGCAAAGCCCGTAAGACATGATAAAGTTATTTTCCCCTTTGGATTTAACTTTAATATAGCAATTGGGTTGATTTTGTGCATTAGCTTGTTGATTTTAACTTTTCAGTGGCGGTTTTACCTTTCCTTTAGAAAGCTAATGCGATGGATCCTAATACTTGTTGTTGCCTTGTGGTTTATCGAGCTCCTGGATGTGTGGAGCGCTTGCACTCAGCCCATCTGTGCAAAATGGGCAAGGACAGAGGCCAAGGCCAGCACGAAGTCTGTGTCTTCCCCAGGGCACCATGTCGACCTTCCTGATGTTGTCATTACCTCACTCCCTGGTTCAGGAGCTGAAATTCTCAAACAGCTCTTTTTCAACAGTAGTGATTTTCTCTACATCAGGGTCCCCACAGCCTACATTGATATCCCTGAAACTGAATTTGAAATCGACTCATTTGTAGATGCCTGTGAATGGAAGGCGTCAGATATTCACAGCACACATTTCCATCTACTCCGAGGCTGGCTGCAGTCTTTAGTCCAAGACACAAAACTGCATTTGCAAAACATCCGTCTGCATGAATCCAGTAGGGGCAAACTGGCCCAATATTTTACATCGAATAAGGACAAGAAAAGAAAATCGAAAAGGAGAGAGTCTTTGCCAGAACAAAGAAGTAGAATGAAAGGCGCCTTTGATAGGGATGCTGAATACATTAGGGCTTTGAGGAGACACCTGGTTTACTTCCCGAGTGCGCGGCCAGTGCTCAGTTTAAGCAGCGGGAGCTGGACCTTAAAGCTTCATTTTTTCCAGGAAGTTTTGGGATCTTCCCTGAGGGCATTGTATATAGTAAGGGACCCTCGGGCCTGGATTTATTCAGTGCTGTATAGTAGCAAGCCAAGTCTTTACTCTCTGAAGAATGTCCCAGAGCGCTTAGCTAAATTGTTTAAAGTAGAGGGAGGCAAAGGCAGATGTAGTTTAAATTCAGGCCATGCTCTCGAGTATGAATCATTAAGGAAAGAACTATCAAGACCCAAGTCAAATGCAGTTTCCCTGTTGTCGCATTTGTGGCTGGCGAACACGGCAGCTGCCCTGAGAATCAACGCAGATTTGCTGCCTACCAGCTACCAGCTGGTCAAGTTCGAAGACATTGTACATTTCCCCCAGAAAACCACTGAAAGGATCTTTGCCTTCCTTGGAATCCCTCTGTCTCCTGCTAGTTTAAACCAAATATTGTTTGCAACCTCCACCAACCTTTTCTACCTTCCCTACGAAGGGGAAATATCACCCAGTAATACTGATGTTTGGAAACAGAACTTGCCTAGAGAGAAAATTAAACTGATTGAGAACATCTGCTGGACACTGATGGACCGTCTAGGATATCCAAAGTTTACGGACTAAGCGCTGCGGGTCAGCAGAAATTTGCACTAATACTTCCCAACCTGATTTGTGGACATCAGTTAGAAGAGTTTGTTTATTCTTGTACTCTGTGTGTGAGTGAGTGTGTGTTCTGTTAGTTACTTGCACAGAGAGATTATTTTCAAAACAGGCACCATATCTGGCCTAGTGCGACTTACTTTTTATGTCACCGCTGTCTTGCCTTTGTTTCGGAATGATTCTCTGCTAAAATGCCTCCACTGAGAGGCGTAGGTGAAGCTCTGTTGTGGTCGGGGGGGATACGGAGATTTTAAAGGATTTCGACTCTCCGCCTGCAGCTGTGCTGGTTGGTCCTGGGACCTCAAAGGGTTCACAAGGCCTTCCAGTGCTGCTTTACCCAAGCAGCTCTTCCTTTCAAGATGGACTTCAGAAGTTCCTTCTCTTTTTTTTTAAGTTCTTCCAACACACTTATCCTGCACAAGAAAATAAATCCTTTACTGTGTATAGTGTTTAGTGATGTCACTTGGGAAATGGTGGAAGCTCCTATCTGAACTGTAGAATTCCTTTTTGGAAAATCCAGGTGGGAATACAGAAAGAAAATGTTTTCTTTGCAGGTCAGAAACAGTGACCAAAAAGCCTCTAACATTTTCTACTTTGAAATGATGGGGTCAGTCTGAATAATCTGGGTGCCAAGAACTAGTGGAGTATTTTTGACCTTGTCTGTTTAAAACTCTCTTTTTTGCCTCCTTGAAGTCACAGCTGCTAGGGTCAGGCCACTCCTACCCTGTCCTTTCTGTCACTGTCCTGCAAAACAGTCCCTGGTTACTAATTGCTAAACACCCCATACCTGTGGGGATTTTTTCCCCCTTGATGATTAATTTTTCATTAAAGCCTGACACAGACTTAGAACCAAACTTCTTTTTGTGGAATTGTCACCATATGACTCAAAGGAGCAGAGCCACCGCGGGCCGTGTTCTTTTTTAGACTGGAAACAGAATTGGAAAACTGCCTGACTTGTCTTGCGTCCCATTGAATGAGTTTACAGACCGCCAGTGTTGGCAAATGGGAGATGACGTCAGCGGCATCTGTCTCCTTTACCATCTGCATCTCATTATAAAGGTAGTCGTCATAAAATTGTGGCTCATTTTATTTTAGTAGGCGCTGAAATCAGAATGCTGGACCAGTATAAGCCAGTGGAATAATCACAATGTACTGGATGAAAATCATTAGGCAGTGTTGACACTTGATGAAAATCTCTGTACAGATCGCATTTTTCTTCCTGATGTTTCAAACTGTCATTTCCCCCAAGCTCTCGAACACTTGGGAGTCTGTCATCCTGACCTAGATAAGAGTGGTTCTTTCTCAGTAGTTTGTTATTGTGTCAAAATGTGCCTCCAGAGTGATAAAGCTGTGGACATGTTACATTCTAGCTGAACCTAGCGTGGTTGTCATTTTTTTCCGCGTTAGTGTGCGAGTGAACACAGACTGCCCCTCGGCCACCTATAGCTACTTCCCGGAGCCTGCACGACTTCCTCTACAAGGTCAAAATGAAGGAAAATCATATTCACATAAGTTGAGAGGGCAACTGAAAATCTGAATCTACTCTATAATTTTCCAGGAAGATTATTCTTCCTATCTCAGGGTTATCAACAAGCATGGAAAATTGCTACATGGATAATGACACTGTTTCCATTATTGGCCAGAGTCTCTGTGTTTGCTTTCAACTCCCAGGGTGGGACCATTGAAAAGGCTTTGGGTCGGCAATAACGTTAGGTCTGATCAAGGTAAGAATTAGAAATGTGTGTAGGTAACAAGGAAAGTGGAAGTTATACCACTGCCTTTCTTGTAAAATGGTACAGAAACATGCCCATGGGCTGAAGAGAGCCAGGCTGCCTGTATGGAGGGACTGAGGGAAAGAAGGGGAACACAAGGAGCAATTCTGTGAACGAACGTGGGAACAATATGGGAACATGTTCTTGATGCCAGTGAACATGACTTGCTTAACAGAATGGCTCTTACAGTGCACCCTAGCTTGTGCCTCCCACAGCAATGTCAAGGTCAATTCTGTCTGTGTGCTCGCCCCTCCTACCCAAGAGAAAGGGAGGAGAAGACCTATTTCAGGTTTCCCTGTGAGGGATGGCAGCCTTGGGGCATGCAGGCCTGTGTCCATGCTTGGAACCTCTGCTTTGTCACCTCAATACCTAAGGTCACTGACCCCATGACACCTAGACCATGCACTCTTAGGGTGTCATCCTGGGAAGAAAAGTGACTAGACTCTCTGCTTTTATTCTTATCTTGAAAGTAACTAAAGAAACAATGATTACTATGTGACGCTTCTGAAGGGGATGCTTATAAAATGTCCTCTCTGTTAAATCAATTTCTTTTTTTTTTTTTTCATTAACTTCCCCAAACTTAGGCCCAATTGGGATAACAGCTTTTATTAAAATGAGAGCATTTAAATCTCGAAACTTTGGAAGAATGTGTTAGTTTTGCTGACAAAAGTAACAAAAGTAAATGTAGTGGTAATCTGGTTTTCAAAAGTCAAGTAATGCGAATTACTCACTTCAGCTGGAATACGCTGCATCCAGAGTTGCATTTACTGTAGTAATAATAATTCCAGGAAATAGAGGAAATGGGAGAGTCTGTTTAGGAGAAAGGAGATAAATCTATAAATACTCTTTAATTTATAGAAACCTAAAGTCTTAAGCATATGCACAAGAATACATACATATTAGGTTTAGACCCATATATTAGATATTTGATTGTCTGATGTTTTAGAGAAGAATTAGTAAATGCCTGGGAAGAATGAGAAAATTCCCAGGCATGGAAGAGGACTTGCCACACCATTGTCGGTAAATATATTCAAATAAGAACCCTCCACACACACACACACACACACACGTATGTTTTTTTTTCTTTCTCTGGAAATGCTACCCCTCTTTGCCACTTCTGATCAGTTTCATTATCAGCCGAGTTTGGGGTGCTTCATCATAGATCCTAGACATCCTCAACATATATAAAGTGTATCACATCCAGTTGTCTGTGAATAAACATTAACTGTGGTTTTAAAATTGCTCTATATACTTGATCATAACCCAGTTTATTGGAACTCTATGTATAACAAGGCTCCTCTCTTATTTGTTAAATAAATGCCAAGCCAAAACCAATTCGGCCATGGTTGGGAGAATTTGAAATAGCTCTCTTCTTTGGGTCTTGGGGTAACTGTTGGGATTTTGTATGGAGCGGAGAAGGCAGAAGATGGGATGTGCAGGGAGACTTGAATATGGACATGCAGTCCCACAATTCCAGCTGCCGAACTGGGCCATCCAGTGATGGGCAAGCCTTGCCTCTGCTCTTCTCATTCGATTTCAGGCCCTGTCTGTCTCTGACTTGCACTCTCCTACATACATCATCCCAACTTGCTAACTGGCGAGGACAGCCCTGCACTAAGTACTTGCACTGTCATCTGTCCCTCCTGCCACCGTGAGATCTTCAAGTAGGATACTGCTGAAAAGAAGGTCCTTGTAGGTTTCTTGAGATAGTCTAAGTCGGTGGTGCCTGAGGATGCACAGGCAGACTTTTTTATTTTTTAAGAGAGTGTCTATAATGAATTAGCCTCAATATGTGCTACAAATTGAACCATCATTTTTCACGTATCTCGTTGCAATCCTCACAAGAACTCCATAGCATGTGCATTTTATGGATACGTTTGAAACCCGCCTGCACTCTGCCTCCCTGTACCTGTGTGCTCTCTGTCCCACTTTAACAACCGAATTACTGTCTTCCTCTGCATTTCAATACTTTGCAAAATGTTTTTCTTCATGTCCTTTTTCTTTTTCTCCTTTTCAACACTTTGAAGTTATATTCTTTACTCTCGATAAAATATTATGAGGGGGAGGGGTGTCCTGATGTTAAAAAATATATGTATTCCTTACAAAAAGTTTTGAAAATACAGAAAACTGAAGAGCACCCTATCTGAAAAAATGCCTATTATTATCACTTTTACTATATCCTTTACTTTCAGGTTTAGGATACACTTGGTCTCTATTGGTTTATAAAAGTGCATGAATAGATATAGGTTTATAAAGATGAATAAAGTACTCTGAATTGGGATCAAACTAGTTTTTAATTAATATGGTAAATAGAGACTCAGTAGTATTAATTCTACTATAACTGTTGGCCTAATTGCTAACTACTTTAGATATAGTTCAAGTTTTTCCTTCACAACAGCTTTCTAAAGTAATTATTGTTAGTATCTCCAGTTCAGTAATTAGAGGGTGAGACGTATTGTGCCTAATCAGAACTAATCTTATTTTTTCAAATACCATAAAATGTTTCAGATAGATTAATGATGTCAATATAAAGAGACATTTCAAATTAGAATGAGGAAATAATTATTCATATGATATTAACAGTAAAGAAGATAGGACAAACTATTCATTTTACCTAAGCCAGGAACCAGGTAAGAAACAACTGTGAAAATTACATGCATATTTTTAATCTTCTCTGTGGAAAAAAATAATAGTAACAGCTTTTTAAAAGTATAAGGTTAGAAAACATGATATTACTATAAACAAGTTAAGATTTACTATCTATAATGTAGAAAGTTTTACAGGCGTATAAGCAAAAAACGAATATTATAATTTTAAAAGAAAGAAGTTTAAAATGATAAAAACAGTATGTTCAGCAATTCAAAGTACAAATGTTCTTACTTTCCTTTTATTTATATTTCATACCTTCAATTCCAAATTATTTCTCCTTATAGTCTGTCCTACCTCTCCTTATAAATGGGGGGAAAGGAAATACAGGAGAAAAAATGAAAAGTCTAAGATTCCTTGGGACTTAATCAAAAGGGTTTAGGACTACTTCCAACTTAAAATGAAGAAAGAGTGATAATCTCATGTGGCCCAAACTTTCACTGCTTCTCACTGGTATAAAGTATCGCTATAGAAGACTGGTCCTGCCCAACTCAACAAACGCTACTTGTCTGCAGGGGCCAGACTCACATGCTTCTACTGTTTCTGTGCAGTTCACATGGGTGACCCCCACACACAAAGGGCCAGTTCATTACAGATCACCTGTCTTTTGCTTCCTTTCATTCTCAAGAGGACAACCTACTGGACCATTGTCACTGTGTGTAGAAGAGGTGTCTCTATTACGCAGGTACGTATTATGCACGAATCACCCAAACCCACCCCCCCGAAAAAAAGAACAGTCACTTCTAGTGAGCCTGAATTAGCCTCGATTGCCATTTCAAGGCAAGTTTCTTTCAGGTGTTTTCCCGTCCTTTTCTGCACCCCCGTTGTCTTCAGGGTCAGGCTGAACCAACTTTCAAGGCTGCTCTACTTTCAATTGTTGAAACAGAGGGATGGGCTCCTAGCTTCACCTCCAACCACGTCCAGAGGAGTATAGCAAGGAGCAGTGGTCTGGGGCCCAGCATGCTGTCTCACGCCAGCAAGCACCACTTACCTGACCCTGAGGTTAGGTTAACCCTAGTTTTTTGTTTATTCTGTGTTTACAGTAGGGAATCCAAAGCAGCTTCTGCATATGGAACAACCTGAAAGTCAAAAAAAATACTGTTGATCAAAAAGTATAAATACTATCAATCTCATTATTAATTATATAAATTCAAATTAAGAAAAAATACTGCATCTTAGCTTATAAACCAATACAAAAGAAAACATATTGGTGAATATAGCAAAAAATAAATAAATATCTACAGCTTTGGTAATATGTATATATTCTTTATTAAAAGCAAGTTGGTTATTTGCCAGATATTTTAAAAATCCTCTTTTCCACCACCAAAGCTTGGCTTTGGCCTAGAATTTCTATTTCAAACATCTTATTCATACAAAAAATAAAAAAATGTAGAAAGATGTACATGTATGTTTATTATAGCATGATTTATAATATCAAAACATGAAAACTTCCTACAGGTGCAAAAATTGTCATTGAAGATGGATAGTAGCTTACTAGAAAAGTCTATGATAATATTTTTCTTTTTAGTTGATTACAAACAACTATAAAATAACCTCATTTTTTATAATGGATAAAACTTATTTCTACCTATTAGACTGAATGATGTCAAATTGTTTTAAACAGGTCAACAGTTATCAAACATCAATGATTTAAAATGGTTCAGTCTGATGTTTAGATCCATATATACATGAATTACCTATTTGTATAATTATTTTTCACACATGCACTCATACATCGAATTATCACAGGTCAAATGTGAATAGTGTTTATCCCTGGGTGTTGCAATGCCAGGTGAGAGCTTTTGTTTTTTCATGTTTATTAGTGCCATCCATTATTAGAATAATTGCTTTAAAAGAAGCAAATTGAAAACTCAATGAAATATTCTCAATATGTAAGGGCCTAAGAGCATTCTCAGAGGGTTAAATAAAAAGTCTTCAATGAATAAAGTAT